TAACGGCACAGCGGCAATAAACGGCTTAGAGAAAGTTCGATCTTTTTAGCGATACTCCATCGCGGGGACCCTCGACCGCGAACTCTGCCGAGAAACTTGGTGGTCGCCCCTGATCGAAGAAACGGTCTCCCGCGAGTTAGGTTACGCCGATACAAGGTATAAAGGGCATAAACGAGGGAAACGCGTCCTACAAATCGTCGCGAGATAAATATCGCCGAAACTTAGCCGGATAATTCCGTCAGGGAGGGAAACGTCTGATTGTATTGGAGGGCAATAACATGTTTCTTAAAGCCTTTACATTTCGAACGTTTACGGGAATTATTATTCGAATGTTTTATATCCGTTTTTTTTAATTAAACTCGTGTATATATTGCAACGAATATTTAAACTCTGAAAAATTTATAATATAACTGTGGATATGTTTGTTTTGTTATTTTTATATATTTATGGATTGTATCTTCAATGCGGGAAATATTAGCATATTAATGATAATGTTCTCCATTTCACAATTTTCTAATTCTCTAATTTTTTAAGTAAAAATTTTCAATAAAAGAGAATTATTTTAAATTTAGAAAAATATATCAGAAATGCTTGGCGTTCTACTCTGTTCATCGATCGAGAAACTTTAATACTGGTGTATTTTAAGGTACTCTTAAGCAGACATCAGGAGATGTTGGAACTCGCTTTTTCTCAGAGATAAGAAAAGATTTGTTTCTAATCGTGAAAAAAATCATGGCGTGCTTTTAAGAGGCGAAGCGTCTGTAAAAAATAAAGTCGGCATAAAAATGCAAGGCATTGATGATGCAAATTAGTCGAATATAAATTATCAATCTAAAGCAATTTTGATAATAATAAATGCTATTTTAAGCTAATTTTCGATTAAAAAAAATAAATCTATAAATTTTAGATAAGTTTTATCGAAATGACAAGCAGACATAAATCTGTTTGAGCATACTTATACTTTGCCGTAAAAATCATTTTTTGCTGAAAAAACTAACGATAAGATTTAGAAAATTCACTTAAAAAAATTTGAAACATTTCGAGAAAAGTAAAAAAAATACTCTTAAATTAATCAAACGTATGTTTGAAGTATTGCAAGCTTTCAAGTATTATAAACAAATAGATGGATATATTTTTTTTATTCGAGCAGATAAAAACCAAACGGCACGAGCGATTCGCGTAAAGAAACGGGAACCGTGGACATTAATCGGATTTGTCTCTTTGTTTCCATCTTTTTGCAAAATAAAAATGGAGAACACGGGCGTATGTTGGCATCGCGAATGCGTTTCGGAATAACAATACTGTCGAATATTTGGCATCGTTGCACCGGCATCGAACAATGCCTTTTTTCCAGCTTGGTCCAGATGAAGCAGCGCATGTTTGTTCCGTAAACTGGACAAAATTCGCAACAAGGTCCACGAGAGTACGACACGTAGAGGGTTCGAGCTTGAAAATTAATTCCATCGCTCTCGTGACTGACCTCTTTCTCCCGCACTTCGCGACCATTTGCCCTCCAAAATACGATCGCTCTTGCTTTGAAATACACGCAGTGGCGCCTATTGTTATTTCAGCTCGTCTTTCCCGCGATTTTTTCGTCGATTCAAAGTGCCGAAACATACGCACGTTTTCGTTTACGGAAAAATATTGCGAAAGAATGGATTCGCCATTTTTTTTGCTCTCCTCCTTCCCTCGTTATCTGTCTCCCGATCGTTTTTAAATTCTCGGCCCTCACTCACCGTCTTTCTTGCGTAGCTGCCTCCATTTTCTGCGCGCGGCATCGCAATTCACGCTCGATTTAACTGGCAAAACGAGTTTCTATACGCGAGCATTGTCGCGATCGCCAAACGATATAAGACCCGCCCTCGGGGCTTGAAAAATCATCCATCCATCCGTTTTCTTAGCTCCTCGCGAAGAGCTCAAAGCTGTCTAAATCTCATCGGAAGGAAAGAAAAAGGGAGAGGTAAAAAAGAAACACGTAATTTCGCTCGAATGTTTTTGCGCTGCTGTCAAAGGCTCCGCGCTCTACGGTTCGTTGTTTCTACGATTCGACGCCGCCGGCTTTGGTTTCTTTGAACGAGAGGAAGCCAACGAGGAAAGGTCTTTCGGATACAAACTCGAGTCGAGTACAATCTTGGGTGTCCGTTCTTGTTCTCGATATCCTCGTAATCTCGCTTTGTTACTATAGTCGTACTACTATAGCTAAATGAATGTTTTGCGAGTGGCGCCTTTAATTTTGGGGGAAGAAATCGCGAAAGAAACTGGTCTCGGAACTATTTTCTACCGTCTCTTCGCCGATTTTATCGGAGTAAATTTAAGCGGATGCGAAAGAAACATGATTTTATTTACGTACGCGATGCAGAGAGAGTCGCATGTAGAGACTTTCTATATCCGGCGTCATATGCAAATACATTTGGGAAGATTGCAACGGGATTTTCCTCTGGACTTGACCGTATGATGCAACGGTATAAATCCGAGGAAAATGTATTCCGCGGTCGACGTGCTTGCTGAAGAGCATATTTGATACAGCGGCAAACATTGTCACGCTAACGTGGAAATGTACCACCGAGAATATATTGATTAACATTTCCGGTGGCGTCTGCATGTTTGCATTAAATGTCGCTGGCACAAACTTGCGGGATTGAATTAATTTTTAATTTGAAAGTTCAATTATAAAGCCATCTTTTGCGAAAAAAATTATTCTCTAAGACTATCATATATGCATACATTATATGCATTGATATATTGATTAATTATATTGATTAATATTTTCGGTGATCTATGTTTGCATTAAATATTGCAAGCAAACTTGGAACGTGGAAGTAAAATAATTCTTCATTTAAAAGTACAATTACAAAGCCTTTTTTGCGAGGAAAATTATTCTCTAAGATATTTTTTAATTTGTGTCTTTTCTCGGTTGAATTTTTCTGTATTTCCGACTTTAAGCGATAGAGTCTTCTGCAATTTTCGGTTCGCCTTTAAGAGAGAAACGAGACGTCTCATTAACCGTATACCGAGATTGGAAATACGGAGGATGTCAACCGGTCGGCAACGCGTTCAAGGCTGGTGCAAGGCTTCGCGAATGTAACGCAAATGTTGAAGAGGCGCCAACTTGGCGCGGACTGGCTCTCGTTCTTTACTTGCACTTACCTGTGCATGCTTGCGTTCCGTGGATACATTATCGTGGAAAGTTGAAGCACGCGGGAATTACGGGAGGAAGAGAGGAGAGGAGAACGAAACGCACCGTGGTTCAAGTGTTTTTTATTACGTTTTTTATTACAAATCAGCTGTGTAATTGGCGTCGAGTACGCGTGAGCGGGTGATTCACTCGAGATTCTAAATGTTGCAGCGTTTTAGATACTTTAAAGCTCAATCTTGTTTTGGTTTATTATTAAAGATGCTCCCTTTAATAATGATCGACACGTCGCTTTACAAATATAAGCGAAATGACTTTGAATGCCACAGTAAACGTGGAAAACAATCTCCTCTCCACAATTTCGCCAGTCACGAGGCAATCCGAGGCTCTCGTTTTATCCCCGAAGAGATAATTATGCGATTGTCAAAGCGCGATTCTTGTACCACGATTATATTCATTTTTATTCCGATTATTATCGTCTCTTTCTCTTTGAAAACCGATAGCAATAGTTGAAATTAACAGACATTTACAGCATTCTCATACGCGAACAACTCGAAACTCTTTTAACAACCAACAGCTAACGGTGTTATTTATTCGAACGCGCTTTCATTGACGTAATGGTATCGTTCCTATTTCAACGCTGGATATCGTATCGATATCGAGCTGTCAAATGTGCCGCGAGATGTATCGACTCGTGCAAACGCGGCCGGAGGCATCGTTGGTTAAGATTAGAGAGAATTCGAGCGGAGGACACTGCAGGAAGATAGGCAAAATCCTGGCACCCATATCGTATTTATTTCGCTTACATCCTGACACGAGCCGTTGATATCGCAACTTTGGTTCTGAAACTGTCAGGCGGGGGATAATCGTTACGCTGGTTAAATTCACGAGAATTCGATCGATGCATCCGGTGTATCCGATTTACTTTTGCGAAAATAATATTTTTCATATCCAAATCGTTTTTTCTCGCTTCTCTTGAAGATAAATACAATGTTATAATATTCAAAAATTAATATAAAATGTATATTTTTAGAAAATATAATAATAAATATTGTATTTTTTAGAAAAATATATATATCATAAATTTTATAAAATACATTACAAAATGATATATATTTTTTTAAATTTCTTATAAATTATAATTAATTTATTTCATATATTGTTGACTAAAATTTTATTAATTCGCTAAATATTACAATATTTTCTATTTTTTATATTATATAAGAAAAAAGATATCTTTTTCTCTCTCTTTGAAGATTCACATAAAGGCAGAATATTTTAAATCTTAACTTGAAAGAATAATCTCTTTAATGTGAATTACTCTTCTCTTTAATCTGAATTACACAAAAAATGAATTCGATCAATTGCGCTGTAATGTTAATGGAATTTTAATTCGGATTTTGATATGTGAATATTCTACAGCGCTCTCTTCCATGACAATCGCATTTTATCGAAGCGACGTAATGACATATAATTGCATTTGAGTGTCCGACGATATTCCGCGAAATGGACAATTGAGTCCATTTGAGTTAAGTGAGTCTCGTCAATAAATAATTGAAGCGTACGATATTCATTTTCTGCACATTCCGCAAGATCTCATTCTCCAATGATCCTCATACTGATTCATCGATCAATAATGCACGATCGTAAAGGAGTTTCCCCGTGTCGTTCCTTTCGCTCGTTCCGCCTAAACTTCCTCCGCTAAACCGTCTAGTCTTCGCGCTCGATCGGGTGGAAACCGGTAGCTGTCGTCGAAGATAATCTTGGATCTTGCCGTTCGACCGTACCTAAACTACCGCGGGTAGTTGTCCCCCATCTTGACTCAACTTGTCGCTTCGTCTAACTTCGGCGCTGTTTACTGTTTCAGGTGACCGTCGCCGATACGGGAAACGGGACCGGAAGTCTCGTGCCTCTCGCAGCGGCCTCGTCCTGCCGGACGGGGGGCAAATCGGGTGGCAGCGTTCGTCGACGAGCACCGACGATGAGCTAGCGACACCATCATGCGTAAGATGAAGCAGCGCGTGCTGCACGCCTGGCCATGGTTGTGGCTGTGGCTGTTCGCGGCCACGGCCGGCTCTCCGTCTTCCGTGTCGACGACTTTTCTACCGCCCCGCGACAGCGGAGGCGAGGGCGGAGGCGGCGACGGGTCGGCGATGAAGTTGTCGATTGGCACCGCGACGACCCCGGCGCCCTTCGAGGACGACGCGAGTGTCGCGAAGACGAAAGTCGACTTTCGTTTCACTCGACCCCTGTACAACGTCTCCATTCCCGAGAATTCCATCGGCAAGACGTACGTCGTGCCCGACGAGAGGATGGGCATCAAGCTCGCGTCCGCCGACAGTGACGTCGACATCAAGTTCCGTATAGTGAGCGGTGACCGCGACAAGTTCTTCAAGGCGGAGGAGCGCACGATCGGCGACTTTTGCTTCCTCCTCATTCGGACTCGAACTAGTAACGTCGACGTGCTGAATCGCGAGCGCAAGGACCGCTACGTCCTCGAGGTGCGCGCGACCTCGAACGGACACGACGGTAAAAACGGAGCGGCGATCGCGGACGCGACGGTGGTGGTGACGATCCTCGACACGAACGATCTCAATCCGCTCTTCTATCCGATCGAGTACGAGACCACCGTGATGGAGGACACGCCTTTGCATCGCAGTATACTCAGGGTAATCGCCGAGGACGCCGATCTCGGCAGAAACGGCGAGATTTATTATAGCTTCGCCGAGGAGACCGATCAGTTTGCCGTTCATCCGGTCAGCGGCGTAATAACGATCACGAGACCACTCAGGTTAGTGTTACGACGGATTTTATTATCCTTATTTAGGATTTATAGAGAGCACCGCGCAGAGAAAAATGCGTGATAGAACTATTCAAATAATTCGAAGCAGAAACTTGAATCTCAATTTATGTAATTTTGTTACATTGTTTAATCGGTTCATGTTGCCCGAAAAAATTTGACTGTTATAACATTTTAGATCAAGGAAAATTTAAATAAAAATAACATGTAAAATAAAAAAAATGAAAATCAACTTTCTTTGCCATTTTATCCAATTTGAGGTTCAAACTGTGCGAATAAAAGTATTTAAAATTAATTTGAATAATTGTTATTACACTCAAACCTGGTTATCGCAAGGGAACAGCTCATTTGATCTCACTTAAAGAGGTATCTCACTTATTCAATTTCTCAATTATTCAGGTTCAAAACACGTATATCTCACTTATAGAGGTAATTATTAGATAAAAATACGTACATAAATTAAAAATATTTTGTACAATTCCAGCAAAAAATAGCTAAAAATCAATATTGACGAATATATCCACTTTTGGTATTTTAAGTAAGAAATTGTGTGGAATATTACAATTTGATTTTAGCTACAGTGTAGAGATGTATTTTAATATTTATTGCGCTTTTATTGAAATATTCCGAATTTTGTTAATCGAAACGATTAACTTTTGGCAGAGAATTTCGTCTTGTGACAGATACATGGCTAACTTCATTGAATTATATTTAATATCTTTTTAACCAGTTAATACTTGTATAATATTATTTGACCAAATATTTCCTCTGTATCTAAACTTTTGCAAATTTTAAACAAATTCTGAATATTATTTCCATGTGTTTTTTCATTTGAATCGACGTGGTTATGCGTTTCCCATAAGAACACATGTTAATTCGATGCAAATTAAAATCCTTATAACTTGTGAACGCTTTAGTAAATCGATTTAAAAATTGTACTGAAGATTCTAAACATATGTAAGGACATTCTGCATAATTTTCATTAAATTCTCAATATTTTGAAAATAGGTACAAAATAAAATAATCCTTAAAGTCCAAGAAACGCAATAGATGCTAAACGCGCTGCTTTATTTTTTCTTTATGAATGACATACTTATCTTGTTTTAATTTAAAATATTATATTTGATGTAATATTTCATATCGTTGTAATTCTGAATATATTCGCGTCAACGATATGTAAACAAAGCGGCCGAGCGCGCTTTCAAGGTTTTCCCCCACCCTTCCTCTTCATTCACGCTCGACATTCCTCGGTTTTTCTAAAGTTTTTCGTTCAGTTTCGTCTCAACTATCGCGAAGATTAAATCGAACGTTCCGCGTTTTTCAGTTATAGAAGTAATAATTGCTATGAATTGCTAAATATCAGTCTCAATTAAAGAGATTGGGCATTCCTACTTACAGAGGTTTTTTGATGCAAAAATATTGGGATCTCAGAAATAGTCTCAGTAATAGAGGTTTCCCTCTTATCCAGTTCCCACTTAACCAGGTCTGACTGTATAATGTGTTATATTTGAATGATTTTTTCTATGTATATATATATATATATATATATTTATGTATATATATATATATATATACAGGGCGTCCCAAAACTCATAATCAATCTTTCAAAGACAGATTCCGTTTGGAGACGATTTTTCTTCAGTGAAAATGTCGATGAAGGCCATCATTTTTTGCATGTTCCTGATTTTTGTCATCATATATCTTTGCAATTAAGCCTTAAATTAAAACTCAACTAAAGTAGACTCTATTTAAAATTAATCGAAGAATGTGGTTTTGTTAATATTTTATTTCTACAAAGCTTAGTTTACGAAAAATCCCTTATTTCCAATCACTGATAATTCGAAAATTATTAGTGCCTCGATATTTTCGTTGAGAAAAAATCGTATTCAGATGATCCCAGGAATCTGTTTTTGAAAGATTGATTATGAGTTTCGGGACTCCCTGTATATATATATATATATATATATATATATATATATATATATATATATAATAATACAACAAAGCTTATTTAAAATGCTATAGAAAATTTCTATTTCTATAAACCATCTATAAAATTGTGGTACGCCTACGATAAGCAAATGTCACTGTTTCCACTAGGTACGCGGAACGCGCCATACACGAGCTAGTAGTCTTAGCGAAGGATCGCGGTGCTCTGTTTCGCAGCGTGGGTACCAACCACGCGAGCACCGCGAGGGTCACGATCAAGGTGAAGCAGGTGAATCTTTACGCGCCCGAGATCTACGTTCACCAGCTGCCCGAGATCGTGGAGAACTCGAACGCCGACATTTACGCGATCGTGCGGGTGATCGACCGCGACAAGGATGTGCACGGGCAGATCGCGAGCCTGGACATCGTGGGCGGGGACCCGGCCGGTCACTTCAGGGTGCGCCCGGTCGGCGGGCCGCACTCTGGCGAGTACAACATCGAGGTGCTGCACCTGCTCGATCGCGAGACCGCGCTGCAGGGTTACAATCTCACCCTGCGCGCGATGGACCGGGGAGTGCCGCAGCGATACAGCTACAAATTCGTGCCGGTGCACTTGACCGACATGAACGACAACGCGCCGGTGTTCAGCCGCGAGATTTACGAGGTCAAGGTACCGGAAACGGCGCCCATCAACACGCCGATCATCAGACTCAAGGTAACAGACGCGGACGAGGGTAGAAACGCCCTGGTCTACCTCGAGATAGTGGGCGGCAACGAGGGTGGCGAGTTTTACGTGAACGCCGAGACCGGGATGTTGTACACTGCCGTGGAACTGGACGCCGAGAAGAAGGCGTTTTACACGCTCACGGTATCGGCGATCGATCAGGGTAACGCGGGCACTAGAAAGCAATCCTCGGCCAAGGTGAAGATCAATGTGGTCGATACCAACGACAACGATCCGACCTTCGATCAGCCGGAAATGGAGGTGTGGTTGGACGAGAACGAGCCTGCCGGCACGTCCGTCGTACGAGTGACGGCGAAAGATCGCGATTCCGGCGAGAACGCCTACATATCTTACAGCATCGACAACCTGAAGAAGGTGCCGTTCGAGATCGACCATTTCTCCGGTATCGTCAAGACGAAACAGGTGCTCGATTACGAGACCATGAAGCGGGAGTATCTGCTCCATGTGCGAGCCAGCGATTGGGGCCTGCCTTATCGCCGCCAGGCGGAGATGCAGCTGCGGGTGAAACTGCGCGACGTGAACGACAATCGACCGCAGTTCGAGCGAATCGACTGCGTCGGCCACGTGCCGCGATACGTGTCGATCGGTTCCGAGATCATCACCGTGTCCGCCATCGACTTCGACGCCGGGAACATTGTCAGCTATCGGATAGTCTCCGGTAATTCCGACGGTTGCTTCGCCCTGGACTCGGTCAGCGGCGTCCTATCGGTCGCCTGCGACCTGTCGGACATCAAGGCCAGCGAGAGGACCATCAACGTTACCGCTACCGATGGCACGCACTTTGCCGACGTCAATCCCGTGCACATGCATCTCGTGAACGCCAAGCGGAACCTGGGCTCGCAAGCGAGGATCCTCACGGACGAGACCGGCGCCTTCAAGTGCCACGATACTGGTGTGGCACGCAGACTGACGGACGCGATCGCTTCCGCGGAGAGGAACAACATGCCAACGCGGAACGACGAGTACACCCTGATACCGAGCCGTTACGGCGAGAACATGCACGCGCCCGAGTTCATCGATTTTCCAAGCGAGATACGGGTCAACGAGTCGCTCAAGCTCGGCACGACCCTCGTGCGAATACGCGCCCGCGATCGCGATCTCGATTACAACGGCAAGCTCGTCTTCGTCATCTCCAGCGGCGACCGCGATTCCGTCTTCGGCATCGATCCGGACACCGGGGACCTGAACACGATCGGTTACCTGGATCGCGAGCGGGAGAGCGAGTATTATCTCAACATAAGCGTGTTTGATCTCGGCAAGCCGCAAAAGTCCGCCTCGAAGATGCTGCCGGTGACCATCCTGGACGTCAACGATAATGCACCCAAGTTTGAAAAGTCCCTGGCGAGCTTCAGGATCTCGGAGACCGCGTTAAACGGCACCAACGTGTGGCGCGCGAACGCCACCGATGCCGATCTCGGCGACAACGCGCGCGTCACCTATTCCCTGGTGACCGAGACCAACGACTTTCGCGTGGATCCCGTGACGGGGGTGCTTAGCGTCTTCGGCAAGCTCGACAGGGAACGTCAGGAGATATACGAGCTGAGGATTCGCGCGCGCGATAACGGTGGAAAGGACACCGACACCCCGCCCCTCTATTCGGAAGCGCTTGTCAGGGTGACGGTTGACGATGTCAACGATAACGCACCCACTTTTGCCCTGTCAACGTACAACGTCAAGATCCGCGAGGACGTGCCGGTGTGGACCGTCGTGGCCGTCGTGGATGCCACGGACCCCGACGAGGGCGCGGGTGGAGACGTGGAGTATTTCCTGTCGGATGCCATGGAGAGCGAGGGCTTCTTCAAGGTCGACAAGGTCTCGGGGACGGTGAGGACGACTCAGAGCCTGGACTTTGAAGAACGGCAGGCGCACACGTTGACGATAGTCGCGCGCGATCGCGGTGAACCGTCCCTGTCCTCGGAGACGATGCTCGTGATCGAGGTGATCGATGTGAACGAAAACCTTTACTCGCCGGTTTTTGACGACTTTGTCGTGTCCGCGAGTGTCTTCGAGAATCAACCGGTCGGCACCCTTGTTACTACGGTTCGGGCCAAGGACGCGGATCCACCCGGGGGAGACTCCAAGGTTGGCTACAGCATTCGAGGAGGCGACGGCATCGGCATCTTCTCCATCGACGATGAAGGTAAGAGATTGATTATAGTGTTATTTAAGAGGTAGAATATTTTCTAAATATGTTGCCAAGCTAAAATAAAATTGATAAAAGTTCGAGAGCTGCGATTGATAAAATTTTTCGTTTAAAAAAGCAGGGAAATTTGAAAAAAATTTATAATATAATAATATTAAAATAATTGAATTAAAATAAAAATTGAAAAATCGAGCAATTTTTGCGATTTTCTGAAATACACTATTGATTCTTTTTTAATCGATATTGGTCATGTGTATTCTTTGGCAATAACTTCTAACATTCATACGCTTGAATCGCCGCGCTCATATTGAATTCAAGAATTTTCAATCAAATATCGCAAGACCGAGGCTTCTTTTGAGGAGGGAAACAAAAGGAGTATCAGAGTTTCAACAAGATTTTTCAATATGAAAATGCAGTTTTGCGTGACAAGTTAAACATATTCGACTTAACAATAATAATTTCAATTTATTCGATAACATTATTGATGTTTGTAAATATCGTTGCGTTGAATAAGTGCTTCGAAAAAAATACATGTACAAAAATACATGTACAATATTTTTCGTAGATAAATAGAAAATATCGTGTGTATAGTAACATTTGAAACACGTTACGTAACTCAAATATTGAGATCAAAGCGGATGTATAGGGATTAATTTCACAGGAAATAATACGAAATGCAGTTTTTAATCTCGCTCGTTTCGAATTTTTATTTAAACTTTCAAATAATTTTTAAATTGACATGCATTTTTTATCGGTAACGTATACACGCGCATATGCATGTGCACGGACACTTTGAAGGACTTTTATTACAGATGCACCGCGTTGGTTCCTCGGCGAAAAGAGAACTCGCACATTCACTCATGCGGAAGCATTCGCTTAGAGTACAACGTGCACATGTTAAGTGCGCCCATTCGTTTTTTTTTTTCCTCGTTCTTTCTTTCCCGAGTACTACTTCTGCCGGGTCCTTCGGGCACGAAAGGGCGTGCAACGCGCGCTGCCCTTTCTGCATCGGACGCGGCTCGCGTCGGACGCGCTGTGGCACCGATCCAAAGCGAAGCTGCAGCGTCGCGGCCCATTAAATTTCGATGCAGCGAGTCTAATTGAATTACGGTGCCGCAGGACCACCACCACCACCACCATCATCTGCTCGTTTCCCCCTTTCCCTCCCTTCGTCTCCCCCCCGTTCTTTTTTCGAGTGCGCGAGGCGCATTAAATTTCTCCAGCAGTCTCCTTTCACCGCGGAAATCGTCTCTCGAGAAATCGCACGTCATTCCGCTTAATGGCTAATTCCTGTGTACCGGTGCCACATCGGTCACGGCGAGCGGTCATAATGCACCGATGATCGTTTCTTGATGAATGCACCGGGCAAGAACGAAGGTTTCGCGGACGAAATAGGTTTCCAGGCTAATTTTCATGAGACGTTTCGACACTCGCGTTTATAAAAAGCATCGATATCTATTCGTCATTTACATAGGAATTTTTTGACATTACGCGCTCGTCAATTTATCGGATTCGTAAGAATTTTTTTTTTACATTATATTTCTCTCTCTTTTTCTCTCCGTGATCGGTATTTGTAGCGATAAAATTACTCTCAGTATCGATAATAAATCGCAACGGTCGTCGATTTGGTTTTTATAGCCGCGAATTTTGTACCACGTGCAACAGATAAAAGAAATATATATATATAGCCGTCATCAGTTTGTCGAATTTTCGCCGAAACAGAATATATGCTATATACAGTCGTGAATAGCTTCGTACGTACGTGCGTATGCACATATACGTTTTTTTCTAGTTTTTACTTTAATAAATTATAAATCGTAGTCACACAATAACAAAATTTTCCAAAATATAATTTTATTAAATCTGTTTTGACGAAAATTTTATAAAAACTCGCAACTTGTGTTGCATCTTTTGTTGAAATTTTTTTTACAATAATAAAAAAAAATAATTATCTCTTAAAAGGATCGAGACACAAGCTTTTATGAAAAAAAATAGTATCCCTTGCCTCTAATGAAAAGACATCTCGTTTCATATATATTCCATCGCTTTTTGACAGTAAATCCCTAATCATTAGCGTGAGGCTGGAATTTGCGTTTGCGTCTCTATACCTTCGCTTTCACGTGTATGTGCGTCGTATATTGATCTCCCGTGGAGCAAAAATAATACATTATCAGTAGTATGCATATTCAACTGGCGTAAATATTCATAAGTCGCCGGTGTATTGCCTCAGTGTCAGAAGCACGAACGGTAATGTCGCCGGTGCCGATGGGAGTTGTGGTGCGATAATAATGGCGTGGTTGATGGTGTGATGGTGTCAGTAATGGTGGCGATAGCTGGATGACGGCGCCCGTTTAAGTCGCACATAATTTCCCGGCGGATACTTAGAATCTATGGCGGGCACATGAGATTCGCGCCAAGTCAATGTTGCTCGCGTCACACAAAGAAGTTATCATCTCCCGGCATCGGGAAAGGAGCGATCGGAACGATTATCGTCGATCTAAACGATCGGATCTTCATTTTTATTATTTGCCGCGAAAATGTCGATTTTTCTCGTATTTCTCGCGCTTTTCAAAAGATCTTTATATTAATCTTTACGTTTATCTTGGCGACGACGGTATTTTACGAGGAAGTATCTGGCGTTCGTATCCGAAACAATATATTCTCATTGACGCAATTTCCGGTGACGACCCGCAGCTTGACGCGCTCTGATTAAATGCGATTAAACTCCGATCGTTGTAGAAAAGTGCCATACCTAGTTTGCGGAGCGCCCGATGAACGAGCCGGGACGACGCGTTTTCTGGTAAACGAGCTAAACGCGTTATTCCAGCCGACTCTGTTCACTTTGCTGGCCTGGCGGACGTTAGTTCATTAATAAAGCTTTATACCTCGATACCAACGAGCGACCCCAAAAGCTCTTGATCGTGCGCGGAACGGAAGGAAAGCTCGCGATGACTCGCGTGGTTTAAAGGGGATAGATCGATATCCGAAAGTGACTGATTTTTTTGCTCTCTTATCTTGAATAGACTCGACATTCCATTTCCCTTTACATCAGCAGATGAATAAACACTGACATGTTCTTAATTGCGAGAATCCGAGGAATTTGCGCGAGAACGGATAGAATCATATGCTTCACGTTTCAACTGATATGAGAGACATATGTCTCTTGTAAACCGTTTCATCGTGAAATACTCTCATATTAACAGTCATTCATATATGCTTCTTGATGAATGATGGCAACACGACTGTATTCTGCCTCGACTAATGTTGAAAATTCATCAAACATGACTGGAGCAACGATAATGAAAGCTATATACATCTCTTTTACCTGCCAAGAAATTTGCGTTAATCTAACTTGGCTTTCAATTGGCAAGATTAAAAGATGATTCGATTGTTCCATTGGCAAGATTAAAAGATGATGATTCGATTGTTCCATTTTCTCTCAATTAACGAGAAAAGTTTTGCTCGCGAAAAATACACATTGAATCAATCAAGCGCTTGCCAATCGAACATCATTACTTTTTCCTTTATATTAGAACGAGATGTAATTGTTTTATCGTAAACGCGTGAATCGAACAGCTGCAACAGTCGGAAGGTTTTTGCTCGAGGACTCGACGATTTCCTGCAAATATTTAACGCGGAACATTTATTTCGCTCGACTCACCATATATTAGCAAATAGCACCGACTAAATTATATGTGCCGGGCATTCATAAAGCTCATTCCCTTCAATTGCCTTCGTCGACAAACCATTGTGCTTCTATTCATTTCATAAATCGTTCCGCGATATTCATTCATCCGAAGTGCTTTCTATATTATCAAGCAGATTTCTAGCAGAGTCTCCGAATGCAAAGGAGCTAGCTTTGCTGTTTCTCTGCATTCTCCCTAGTTTCTCTTCTTTAATGCAAAACGGGGCGACTATAAATAATCACATCGCAGTGGTGCTAAAGTCAATCTCGCCGACTCTTATTTCGCTCTTCGCGTATTTCTAATGAAAAGCAGCCTCCATCGTCGTCATCGTACGCCATTAGATGATCGGACCTGGTATTTTCCTCTTCGTCAAAAATTTTTATACACGTCGAAACGAAAAATTAATCTGTGACAGCGCATGCATGACCACGTGTTTGTCAAGCGTGTAGTTGCCGCGATATCGGCCGGCGTAAGTTGATTGAAAAATTGTTGACGTAAAATTAATTCCGTTGACTATCACCTGTTTGTTGGACCTGCGCGATTTACTCGGCTACCGGGTGGGTGGATAATGGTTATGAGCCTCTGCTTAAATATTGTATCAGAATTAACAAGGGTGTGTCGTGCTCTAACGAAGCGGCGAGAAGCAGGCGAGCGCAACCGGGACGCGCAAACGGTTACTTTATATATCTAATAATATGTACGCCCACAGCAATAAAGCGTTTGCACCGTCCATAGCAATTACGCGACTGTTTACACAGAAATACTCTTACTCTGGTTAACAAACCGTGGTGCAGTGATATTTTCCTAAATGTGTACGAAACCGGTATTTTTGCGGCGATGTTGCATTTAAAATAACGGCGTAAAGAAAACATTGCGACGGAAAAATATTGCGTGGCCCACATCCAGACGTACTCTACAACGTTTGCCCCACATTTGTTAGTATAATAAAATGTAATACTTTTTATTACGCGCGCGAAATTACATTCTGTCGTTACATTCTTACAATTGTCGTCGGGTCGCGCTTAAATTTTATGAATATACAGGGGATGCTGAATGAAAGTCTACATTTGTATCTAGATAAATGTGCGAGAATCGGGTCAATCGCTTCGACCATCGGAAATACCGTGTCGTGAACTAAACGCGAACATTATCGTGGAGGAAGCCAAGAGGCGAGAGAGGCAACGTGTTCGAAACTTAAAAGTGCGCTTTTATCCGAGTCCATAAACTCAATTATTTATAGAGAGCGAAGGAACATCTTGCTCCGCTGTATGGCCGGGAGAAATCGAGAGGAAAATACTTGGACCACATCGA